TATCATATTTAACAAAATAGAGCTTTTAACAAAGTAAGAACCATTGTAATGCATATTGATATTTTTATATATTAAGAAAATTAGCTTTCATCATATCTATCGTATCTGTTTTTCCCGCTTTTTTTTTTTTTACTTTGTATATGGCATTTTTTTCCCCAGGCAGAAATATTTATATTTTTATTTCATCAAATTTATTGGTGTTTTATTTTGAATATCTGGAATCTTGCTTAGGAAAGTCCCCTTGTGAAGAAGGCCTTTCTGTGATCGAAAATCATCCAGTGTTTTCATGTGTTTTATGGTTAAGTCTTAAGCCTGGAGTTTGTGTTGGTGTTTATCTGACTGCCCCAGCACTGTTTACCGAATTCAGCCAAGACTCATGGGGAGAGGGGTGGCCAGACTTGGGAGAGGAAGGAGAAGGGGAGGGCCCTGGGAAGGGCTGGGCTGGTGAGGGTCCCTGCATATTCCCTGAGGGTCTGCTGTGTGCCCAGCACTGTCCCAGCTCTGGGGAGACAGCAGTGAAGCCAGCAGCCAGAATCCCTGCCCTCACGCACTGAGCACAAAGGACATCACACAGCGTAATGCCGGCTCATGATACATTAAACACCACGGGCAGCTCGGTGTGGTGACAGAAGTGCTGTAGCTGGGTGGTCCGGGGTGGCAACGTCTGAGCAGAACCTGAAGGAGGAGAGAGCCTGGACAGACGAGGTGGGGGGGGGACAGCGCATGAGGGGCCCTGTGGTGAGCCTGCCACAGGACATGCGGTGCGGTGGGGACAGTTTGTGTAGGCAGCGAAGGCTTTATTTATCGTGGCACATCCATGGCCCCACAGACATCCACCAAAGCACAGCAGAGACCCGCGGGGGTGCCTGGTCTCTGCAGACCCCTGGTGCAGCTCCTTGGCCCTGCCTCTTGGCACAAGGCAGGCTCTGCCCTGAGTGACCATCTGCTGCCCACCCCCAGCACTTGGCCACATTCATCATGGACAAGAGCGAGGCCATCGTGTCTGTGGACGACGCCATCCGGAAGCTAGTGCAGCTGAGCTCCAAAGAGAAGATCTGGACACAGGAGATGCTACTGCAGGTCAACGACCAGGCCCTGCGGCTGCTGGACGTGGAATCCCAGGTCTGGCAGGGGCGGGCAGAAGCACGGCCCAGCAGCACAAATGGGCCTCCCTGGGGGGGGCGGGGACCAGGTGGGGCGGACCCCCGGGGCTGAGAGTCCAGGGAGCCCCGTCTGCTGGACACGTTCGCCTTTGCACGAGCCTGTCCAGCGGCCGGACCGAGCGAGAGCCTGGCCGGGTCCAGGGCTCTGCGTGCGGCAGTTGTGACCACCCCCCGTGGAGTCCACGTCTGTGTCCACGCGTGGGCCACGCCCCTTTTCTGTGCCTGTGAGCTATGCTGTATCTGGGTCCACGGCAAAAACTCCACGTGCTGCCCACGTGCTACAGCTCTGCGCCGTGCTCGGTCCGGCCCCTCCGTGGCCGT